CCATGGGAGGTTGGGAAATGTAGTTATCTCATGTATACAGGAAGAAGAAAATAAAGTGGGATTTGATAAATGCATAGTATTTGCCACAAGCTCTTAAAATTTTTTAAGCTTATTTTTTTTATTTCGAGAGAGAGATAGAGAGCAAGCAAGGAAGGGGCAGAGAGAGAGAGAGAGTGGAGACAGAATCCCAAGCAGGCCAAGTGCAGGGTTTGAACTCCCCAACCATGAGATCATGACCTGAGCCAAAGTCAGGAGTCGACGCTTAGTGGACTGAGGCACCCAGGTGACCCTAAACTTTTTTTATTTGATGCTAAAATAATACATGCTTGTTGTCACAGTGAAACCGGGGTATATAAAAGTGAAACTCATTTTTAAAAATTTATTTCTGAGAGAGAGAGAGAGAAAGAAAGAGAGAGAGAGAGAGAGAGAGAGAGATGTAGCATGAGCAGGGGAGGGTCAGAGAGAGGGGGAGACACAGAATCTGAAGACAGACTCCAGGCTCTGAGCTGGCTGTCAGCACAGAGCCCGATGCGGAGCTCAAACCCACGAACTGTGAGATCATGACCTGAGCCAAAGTCAGACGCTCAATTAACTGAGCCACCCAGGCGCCCCAAAGTGAAACTCATTATCCCCCAACGTCCTATGGGCTCTCACTTCTCTTTGTGTCCTGCCACACCTTTTTCCTCATTCATATGACTATATTCCACACGAATGTGTGATTTGGGAGAAACGAACTCTGGAAGACACTTCTGAACTGAAGGTTTTCAGGATAATGCTTCTAGAGTTGCTAAGAAACACTTGAATGAAATCTTCATCCAAGAGGTACCTCATACTGCCAGAGTAGAGATAGAATTTGGTTGGATTTTAAACTGATAATAATAGATACTACACTTGACCTTAGCCAAAAGACCGAGAAGTGATTGCTGGATTTTAAAGTTGAGTGCTTTTGCTTATATTTGTCTCGGCTTTCTCCAGTTCCTTGGGATTTACTCCTGCCTCTGGGAAGACTTTTTGGGCTCTCCTTGTCACTGTTAGAGGCTCTGCCTCTGAATGATTCTAGTAGCTGTGTCATCAGAAAGACCTGGGTTCAAATCCTGACTCGGTCTCCTACAATCTCTGTGACTTTGGACAACTAATAAACTCCTCCAAGCATTACAGAAGCATAACTACCCCATATGTGAAACAAATCTAATACCTATCACTTGAGGTTTTTTCAGTAATACAAGATAAAGTCTAATCTTTTTTTCCTTATTTTATTATTTATTTATTTATTTATTTGAGAGGGCGGGTTGGGGGAGGGACAGAGAGAGAGAGAGAAAGAGAGAGAGAATCTTAAGCAGGCTTCGTGCTTAGCACAGAGCCCGATACGGGGCTCAATCCCATGACTGTGGGGTCATGACCTGAGCCAAAATCAAGAGTCAGATGCTCAACCGACTGAGCCACCCAGGTGCCCTGGTAAAGTCTACTCTTAAATCTTCCAGGTTACTGGTTATCTATGACGTCTTAATGTCCACAACTAGAGACAAGGGAAACTGGTATTTAAAAATGTGTACAATGTAACCAAGAGCCTGTGAAAATCCTCTACAAAATAAAGCATCGTAAGATGGGAAAGAAAGGAAGAGGAAATACAGACTGGAAAATATTAGCGAGCTGAAGAGGATTTGGAGTCTTCATTTAGGAAGGAAATGAAGATTGAAAGATGTAGGAGTTATTAGGAACATGTTGAGACTGATCTGGCTGTTTTGCTAGCAATTTTCCTCTTCGTTAGTTATGCATAGCTCCCACCAACAGGGGCAGGGTCCTGCTGTGACAGACCTTTTTTGTTAATGACCCAGTGGAACAAAGGGCTCACTGGAACCTGGAGGTGTTCCTAGAGGAAGGCATTGGGTCTTCTCAATGCTTTAAGGTGGTTTTGCAGTTTTAATGTAACATGGTCTAAAAGCAGAGGAGCCCGATTAGAGGCTCGCATCAGATTTTGCCAACATTGAGAAAGCCGTAGGAAGAAATATTGACAACCACCGAATTAAACACATGAAGATCCTGTTGAAGAACTACACAGACAAAGGACAGAGACCCAAACACGAAAACTTAGATATTGCACAAATATCCAAAAGAAAAGAATGTACAAAAGAAAAAAAAAATCGAAGATTCACCAGAACATATGGCCAGAAAAACCAGAAACCATTTTAGGTATTTCAAACAAAGAGGGATTTAATACAGAGAATTAAGTCTTAAAGCTGTTGGAAGGGCTGGGAGAGCAAAGACATAGAAGGTATTGTTACCCAGAGACCAGAAATGCAGGAAGCTGGGTGACGCCTTGGTGGTTCAGTCAGTTGCGTGTCCTTCTCTGGCTTTCGGCTCAGGTCATGATCTCATGGTTGGTGAGTTTGAGGACGCTGCTTGGGATTCTCTCTATCCCTCTCTCTCTGCCCCTCCCTGCTCTCTCTCTCTCCAAACAAATAAATAAATTAAAAAAAAAAAAAAAGAACCACAGGAAACTGGGACCTATTCTATGGAGTTCAATTCTGGATGTTGAAAGCTATTGATCACCGGCTTTAAGAACAGCTCTGTAGCTTTCTGGTTTTTGCACCATCCATAAGTCCGGCTTAGGTTAGAACCCCAAGCCTTAATTGTATGCATTTCCCTGTAGCTGCTCAAGGCTATGACACTGATAGTGTAATATTGGGCAGGCTATGAGAACTAGTCCATGGTGTCTAAAAACTTTGGCTTGCTAGTGGCCATTTACACAGATAGGCTGGTAAGAAGTGTGCACTTGCTTTTGCCTTTACCTGATTCAGGCCAGGAGTGCATTTGCTCTGTATGACCAGTGGACATGTGTAACCTAAGGGATTGTACAGGCTACCTTTTCCTCTTACGTGCCTTTCAGAGGGTGAGTAGATCAGTGTTCCAGGTGCAGAGTCTAAAGTACTTCACAGCCAGTCTGACAGCTGGGTTGGTGACCATTTTCATGGACTGTTTGTGTCCGAGGTTTTGAAAGGAAGCAATTTGAGAGGAGCATGATGGTGACTTTGTGGAAAAGTGTGGTGTGGGAGGACTTTGCTGGTTCTAGGTAGTTTCCCCATAAGTATCTTTGTTGCAAGCATTTGTGCTGTATAACTAATTGCCTGTAAGCCACATTTTCTGTAAAAGATAAAAAAAATAACTGGCTGACCATCTGGTTTGACAGTTTGTTGGTTTCATCAACTGGTTTTATTTCTTCACTGACGCAGTACTCCCGTTTTTATGGTATATAAATCTTAGCCCTCATAAGTGTCTATACAGTACTGTGAAGTTTTGAACCCACATTTCCCATAGAACTTTGGACCATTTATCAATGGACATGTGACAATATGCCAAGAAGAAACAACAGTGTAGAGCCTTTCATAATGCAATCCAAAGCTCAGGTACAGACATGCATTCTAGTAAGTGGAAACTGATACTGCTCTTAATGAAGAAAGACATTTTAGCTAAAGAAGAAACAGTGTGCTGACAAACTGGAAGATGAATCATCATGCCAAAAGAGAGGGAGAGAGAGAGAAAAGAAAAGAAAAGAAGAGAAAAGAAAAGAAAAGAAAAAAGGAAAGAAAAGAAGGATAATAGTTTGAAGGAAAATTTCCAAGGCCAGTGTTTAGATATAGTCCACAAAATAAAACCCATTATTTGCCCAGGATTGGCGTAAATCTACACACATGGCACATGTATTCAAATATTTTGTATTTTGCAATAAAGTCTTTTTAATTTTGTTATACATTTTCATATGTTATTATGTTCTTTTTAACGAATGTCCCGTTTTGATTCTTGGTGACTTTGTCTTTTACGGCACATTTGCTTTACGGCCGAGCCGGCTTCGAAGATGCTCGTCGCAAAGGTGCTCGCGGCGGAACTGGCCGGAAGGAGGCCTGTGGTTTTCCCTCTCCGGGTCGTGAGCGTCACGGCCTCGCCCCCCCCTCACTGGGTCGTTGTGTCTTCTTCTGCGCCCCTGGGCCTGTCCTGCCAGCGCTGTCCCTGCGGCCATGGCGGCAATAGAGGGTCTCGCGTACATGCTTCTCCGCCCACGGGTGCACTGCGGCGTAGGCACGCGGTGTGAACCGGAAGCCCAAACAGCCCCGCTGATCCGCCATTGGCGGTAGCTCTGTTGGCAGAGTCTGTGGTTTCCTGGAGGAGGTGCTAAGTGGCAGGTTTTCTGCTCTTAAGCCCCTGTTTGCTGCCCTGGAGAAGACCCATGGGGGCGTTTTCGCAGCCATGTGTGTCTCCTTGGGCCTTCAGCCTTCACCTGAGATGGGAGATTATGCATCAGAAAACACATGTTGCCATTGAATCCACTTTCTACGAGCTCTCCAGTCTCCCTAAAGTAGGATCTAGTTCCTCAGCCTGAGAAGTTTGGTTCAGACTCGGTGTGGTACCCAACTTGTTCTGGAATCTACCACCAGAGCACATTGGGCAGTGTTTTGGGTTGTTTGTTTGTTTTAATTTTTTGAGAGAGAGAGAGAGAGAGAGCTGGAGAAGAGTGGATAGAGGGAGGTACAGAATCCCAAGCAGGCTCCAGGCTGAGCTGTCAGTACAGAGCCGGACGTTGGGCTCGAACTCATGAACCGCAAGATCATGCCCTGAGCCACCCAGGTGCCCTTGTTCTAAACCAAGTACTTAGTAGGGGTCTTCCCCCCACTCCCATCCTCTCCAGTGCCCCATTTAGTTCCCTCCTTCACACATTCTGCCGCTGCTACATGCTTGTTCAGCAGGGAGCATCTTACCGTCACCCTCCCCTAACCCCCGCCTGCCCAAGGAAGGCGATGTTCTAGGTAGCTTCTTAGGGAATAGGTTCAGGAAGCCTGCATTTACCTCTCCTGGGTGTGATTGCTGGAAAAGCCAAGATGGAAGAGTACTGTCAGCTGGTGAAAGCCACACAACTTCTCCCATGCAGTGTGATTTACAGTTTGCAATGCATCTTACATCTTCACACACATTACCAATTTGATCCTCATGTTTATTATTTTCCACAGGTGCTGAAATTGAAACTCAGGGATTGGCGCACTTATGCCTGGTCACATAGAGGAAAGCTGGGCGAGAAATCTACTCCAGATCTTCAGCCTTTGACCTCTAGACGCTTCTCCCTATACCAAACAAGAAACTAACCTCTAAAGCCATAATGAGTGGGGGTGTTTACAGCAAATTTGCCCTTCCAAGACCAAAAAGATGAACTTACCCTTCAGAGTATGGTGAGGAAGGAAGGAAGGGAAGAAGATGAGGTGGAAAAAGGAGACGGTTAAGTGAGCCTTGCTTTTCCTGGGCCTTCATTTCATTGGCTCCACTGCTCTGAGAATATTCAGGGAGAGCTGTCAAATAGGTGAGTTTGGATCATTGTTCTCTTCCGTTATCTAAGCATTTTGCATCTCCGCTGTAAAAGAAGCTTGTTTATTTTTTTTAAATGTTTGTTTGAGAAAGAATGCGAGCAGGGGAGGGGCAGAGAGAGCCCTGTTCGGGGCTTTGTCTCATGACCATGAGATCTTGACCTGAGCCAGAATCAATAGTTGGACACTTAACCACCTGAGCCACCCAGGCACCCCAAGAATCTTGCTTATTTCATGTGTTTTTTGTTTTTTTTTTTAATTTATTTCTAGGAGAGAGAGAGAGAGAGACAGCGTGAGCAGGGGAGGGTCAGAGAGAGAGGGAGTCACAGACTGAAACAGGCTCCAGGCTCTGAGCTGGCAGTCAGCACAGAGCCCGACGCGGGGCTCGAACCCACGAACCGCGAGATCATGACCTAAGCGAAAGTCGGATGCTTAACCGACTAAGCCACCCAGGCGCCCCAAATCTTGCTTATTTCAATGTGTGATATATTCCTCTCTTTCAGTGAAGATTGGGAGATGGAACAGTCTAGTGGGAAAAACAAAAACAAAACCATGGCTTTGGAGTAATAACAGTAGTTCGCCTTTGCCGACTTCTGACTATGGAGTATGAGCAGTTGTAAGAACCTGACATGTACTAACTTGGAGTAATCCTGTAAGATAAATACTACCAATATTTTATTGTACCGATGGGAAAATGAGGGTTTAGAGACATCAAATAACTTGACTGAGGTCAGGGGCACCTGGGTGACTCAGTTGGTTCAACATCTGACTCTTGATCTCAGCTCAGGTCTTGATCTCAGGGACATGAGTTAAACCCATTCTGGGCATGGAGCCTACTTTAAAAATAAATCATCTTGCCTGAGGTGACACAGCTAGGAAGGAGGGGGAGAACATTTTCCAAAGGTAGTGTCTATTGATTTAAAAACCAAGATCAGAAAAAGCAGGTCTGTTCAATATATGATTGAGAGAAGATTGGTTTAGCTCTAAAACCCCCAACGAAGATGCTGGAACATTGTGTAGTTTTATACTCTAGTCTCCCAAACCAGGTTTATCCCTCTGGTGCATTCTCTCAGAGGGGATGGGGAGGAAGACTTGAAATGCAGTGCTTGTTCCCCGCTGTGAGACCCCTGCCCGTATGCTTCTAGTATGTCAAGAATTGCAGACCAGACTCCAAGTCTTCAGGGTTCCGGCCTCATGTGGATTAGCCTGTGGGGCTGCTGGGGCAGATCGTAGCCCTAGCACCAACGCCGAAGGGCAGTTTTTAGCACACCATTCCTCCTCCTGGACATTCCTGAAGGAATTCAGGGTGCTTGGAAACCTACACAGTGGTCCATCGCTGGAGCGAGTAGGTAGTAATGATTCGGGGTCTCTCTTCTTGAGGGAGAATGTGTAGGTGGGCCGTGTCAACGTCCTGGGCATTACCGAGCAGCCCCCGCTTGGCTGTGGACATGTGACCAGGAGACAGGACTAGGGTGAGGCAGCTTGCTGGGGCCTTCAGGCCTTCAGAGGTTGGGTGGCACCTATCCTGGTAGGGAAGTGGAGCTCGAGGTGGAGAAGGTAGTGCGTGTCTGGCTGTGGGGGATACACAGATACCCAGGAGCTGTCCCAGAAAGGACGAGAGGCCTTTGTGGTGCATGGGTTATCCTCCAATGGTGGACGGGGTCAGAGCCAGAGAACTGTTTGTGACTTGAATGTGAAATGTGTGTTCTGGGGTCTGTCCTTGGCCAGGAGGCAGAGTCCCCACCCTCCTGGTGAGTGGCCACTCAGAGGCAGAAGAGCTTAAGGCCACCAGTGAGCAGGTATTACACGGGATGGCTTCACAGAGCTCGCCTTGTGAGTGCCCATGTTTGGTTTGGCTCAAAAGAAGGGCATTGTTTCTGTCAGTAAACCCTAGATCAAGGGCTCAATATCAAAGGCAAGTGTGGCAGAGGTGGCAAGCCGTCTGACTTTCGTTAGGTTTCTTGGGGCAGAGCCATGTCTGGCGCACCTTTCCGTCACCCCTAACGTATGCTATTTGTACACTCGGGTTGTATTGGACAACGAGGCCCGAGATCCTTCTTGGCTACATTGGTTGGCCTCTCATCCGCCATCTCTGTCCCCTCTATGCCTTGCTGGAAGACTCCAGTAAGCCCCACCTACCAGCCGCCAGGCCCGCTAGAAAGTGAAAGGAAGAAGTAAGGGAGACAGTTTGCAGAAAGGGAAGAGCAGAAGAAATGGGAGGGCGTGTGCTCGGTGAATACCAGGTGAGGAAGTGTGGGTGCTGACTGCCCACCATTATCAGCCAAGGACTCAAGGTAGGTTCCTGCCCCTTCCCCCCCGGCTGCGTACGTCTGCCCCGTTAACAGTACCAGCCGGTTACAGTGACATAACTGATGGGAAGAAAAAGTTCCCACAAACATTGTCATCTCCAGGGCTGACGTTGCCGAGTCTCCTGAGCTTTGAATCTGGATCTTGGACTTAACCTTGAAAAGGCCAGGGAGAGCGCAGGTGGCAGTAGGGAAACAAAGGCTCTCGATTTTTACCTGCCGTGTTGAGCACGGAGTGGGCCCTGGACACCAGGCAGTTTCAGTAAGTCTTCCGTGACCCAGATGTAGCACTCCCAGTCCCTGGCATGGGGCGTGTCACCTAAACCAGAGGGTCTCTGCCCTCCCAGGCAGGACCGGCCTCACTCAGAGCCCCAGGCACACAGGGGCCCTGCCCCTGATTAATGCCCTGGGGCTGCCATGGTGAATTTCTTAGTTTTTCTTACTTAATCAATTTTGTTGTAAGGTTTAATTTTTAAGTAATCTCTACCCCCAACTTGGGGCTCAAACTCAATGACCCCGAAGTCAAGACTTGCATGCTCCTCGGACTGAGCCAGCTGGGTGCCCCAATAAATTTTCTATTGTGGTAAAATATGTATAACATAGTATTACGCCATAATTAAAAATAAAACACTTTATAAAATTTGCCGTTTTTAATAATTCCAGCATAGTTAATATACAGTGTTATGTTAGTTTCAGGTGTACAATATAGTGATTCGGTCCTTCCGTACATCGCCCGGTGCTCCTCATGGGAAGTGTACTCCTAATCCCCTTCATCTGGTTCACCCATCCCCCAATGTATCTCCACTCTGGTCACCACCAGTCTGTTCTCTATATTTAATAGTCTGGTTTTTTGTTCGTGTCATTTTTTTCTTTGTTTTGTTTCTTTCTTTTTTTAATGTTTATTCATTTATTTTGAGAGGGAGCACAAGCAGGGGAGGAGCAGAGAGGGAGAGAATCCCACGCTCTGCACATAGCCTGACGCAGGCTCGATCTCACAACTATGAGACCATGACCTGAGCTGAAATCAAGAGTCGACACTTAACTGACTGAGGCATCCAGGCGCCTCCATTTGTTTTGTTTCTTAAATTCCACATTTGAGTGACATCATGTGGTATTTGTCTTTCTCTGACTTATTTCACCTAGCATCATACCTTCTAAGTTTTTTTGTTTATTTATTTTTAAGAGAGAGACAGAGACAGAGCGTGAGTAGGGGAAGGGTAAAGCGACAGAGGAAGACAAGAATCTAAAGCAGGCTCCAGACTCTGAGCTGTCAGCACAGAGCCCAGTGCGGACCGTAAATCCATGAACTGTGAGATCATACCTGTCTGAAGTCAGATGCCTAACTGACTGAACCACCCAGGTGCCTCAGGCATATCTTCTAGATCCATCCATATTGTTGCAAATGTCAGGATTTTGTTCTTTTTCATGACTGAGTAGCATTCATGTGTGTGTGTGTGTGTGTGTACACACACCACATCTTTATCCATTCATCTATCAGTGGACCCTTGGGTAGTAAAATTTGCTATTTTAATGTTTTTTTTTTTTTTAATTTATTTCTAGGAGAGAGAGAGAGACAGCGTGAGTAGGAGAGGGTCAGAGAGAGAGGGAGTCACAGACTCAGAAACAGGCTCCAGGCTCCGAGCTGGCAGTCAGCACAGAGCCCGATGCGGGGCTCAAACCCACAAACCATGAGATCATGACCTAAGCGAAAGTCGGACGCTTAACCGACTAAGCCATCCAGGCACCCCTAAAATTTGCTGTTTTAAAGCATACAATCCAACGGCATTAATTACATAAACAGTATTGTGCAACTACCCCCACCGTCTATTTCCAAAACTTTTTCTTCACCCCAAATAGATACTCGAAACCCATTAAGTAGTAACCTTTCATTCCCCTCTCCCTTCAGCCCCTGGTTACGTCTAGCGTGAATCCTGTCTCTAAGAATTTGCCTGTTCTGGATAGTTCACGTAACTGGAATCATACGACATTTGACATTCTATGTTGGGCTATTTCTCTTAATATAATGTTTTAAGGGTTCTTCCATGTTGTAGTGTGTGTGTCAGAACTTTATTCCTTTTTTTAAAAATACGTTTATTTATATTTGAGGGAGAGAGAATCTCAAGCCGACTCCAAGCTGTCCACACAGAGCCTGAGTCAGGTCTCAAACTCACAAACTGAGATCATGACCCTGAGCCGAAATCAGGAGTTGCACACTTAACTGACTGAGCCTCCAGGTACTCCAAACTTTATTCCCGCTTATGGAGGACTCATATTCCATCGTATGTATATACCCCACATGTTGTTTATCCATTCCCCTGCCTATGGACTCTTGAGTTGTTTCTGCCTTTAGGCTCTTGCGAAGAGTGCTGCATTGAGTGTGGGTGTGCAGATATGTGTTCACGTCCCCGTTTTCAGGTCTTTGGGTAGTGTGGCTGGGTCATAGGGAAATTCTGTGTTTAGCTTTCTGAGGAACTGTCACACTCTTTGCCAACTTCTTAGTTTTTGAACAAGGGGCCCTGCATTTTCATTTTGCCCTGGCCTCTTCAAGTCACGTAGCTGGTCCTCTCTCAGGGCTATTTCAGCAGGATATCAAAGTCAAAGACATATGCAAATTACCTCTCCCTTGGATGGGTTAGTCCTCTATAGCCAGGACTTAGCCACCACACCTGTCTCAGAGTCTCCGAGCAAACATGTTTACGTGTGAGTTTACATCATACTATGGAAGGAATGGTTTATTAAGTCTTCAGCTTGAGGACTGAGGTCACCAACTCCCACACAGCTTACTTTCATCTGCATCAGTGGGGCGACTGCCATGCAGGCTTCACCAAAGACTTGATTCCAGTCTTCACCATGATAATTTTACTATTCTAGAAACACTTGCCCAGGAAGATAAAACTTGCAACTGACTATTGTTTTAGGAACTTCCCCAAACCCACTTAAAACTGCTTCTCTTCAAAAGATGACAGGGAATGACTGTGAGCACACCTTGCTGCGCCCACAGCCCTGAACTTTTTTTTTTAATATTTTTATTTATTTCTAGGAGAGAGAGAGAGAGAGACAGCGTGAGCAGGGGAGGGGCAGAGAGAGAGAGGGAGATACAGACTCTAAAATAGGCTCCAGGCTCTGAGCTGGCAGTCAGCACAGAGCCCGATGCGGGGCTCCAACCCACGAACCACGAGATCATGACCCAAGCGAAAGTCGGATGCTTAACCGACTAAGCCACCCAGGCGCCCCAACAGCCCTGAACTTTTATATCTTGAGCCTTATTCAGTCCTAATCCACTCGACATGGAAATACTCACCTTTAATGATAAATACCCTGACCCCACCCGCCTCTTTTGAAGACATTGTTAAGACTGCCAAGAAGTGACCTCTCCTACCGCAATTCTTCTACTGAATATGGGAGCTCATATTCAGTAAACTACAGTTTTAGATCCACACTATGCATTTGCTCCAATCCCATTTTTGGAAATTTCAGCCAACATCCATTCTTCCATTGAGGTGTTGAGTGCCTGCTATGGGGTAGGCACCCTTAGACATTACCTCCGTGATGATGGGGACGGATATGGCTTTCATTTTTATAGAACTCACCCACTCCTTTACCCTTACGTCACATTCCTGCAGTGAGGGAGAGTGGAGACAGAGGGCCACTTTCAACTTGCATTTATTTCAAAATGGAGCTTCTCCAGCAGGCAGGCTAGATCTCTCCTTTTTAAGTCTGATGTCTTGACATTGTTGGGGAGGAAAAACGTTTCTTCCACCCTCTTATGTTCAGTGCCTGGGGGCCTGCAAATTTAGCCAACAAAAGACAGACAGGAGAAAAGGAATACAAAATTTTACTAATATCTTACTTGCACAGGAACTCACAGAAAAAGAAGTGAAACCCAGGTCGTTAGACTTGACTCGGGGACTTACATATCATTTTTATCAAAGGAAAAGAGGTTTGTGCTTTAAGGAACTGTATGCTGTGAAATGACTAAGCTGTGTGTGGGGAGATGAAGGGTATTTTTTTTTTTTAAGTAAGGTCTGTTTATACAGACGCTTCTCGGTGAGAACTCTCTTGGTGACAAGAGTCACTCCCTTCCTAGTATGGGAGATGGAGACACCTTCACAAAGGGAAGTTTATGATCTGCTTTTAGGCAGAAAAGAGGAAGGAAGAGAATTCTTCCTGCATTTGGTTGCGTCTCAGATGCATTCAGCTTAAAATAACCCTTATGCCAGGTAGTATATTTTGGGGTAGCATATCCTGATCCCCTTCAACCGGATCTTTACAAGGCCAGGCAGCAAGAGGTTCTTAGAATGAGTTTGTTACTTATAATGATTACTTGTCCCTGCTGTGCTCCCTTACCCCTAAGGTACCTCTTGTGTCCTGATGCCACCCCATGCCGCTATTGCAGGGACAGAGCCGAGGGCTTGCAAGCCATGAGGTGGCCCGAGCCTCCTCAACATCGCCGCATTCAAGCCCAGCGTCCAGTTGGTGAAATGACCCATGGGAGGCCCAGGAGAGCCCACAGAGGGATATTTCTGGGAGATGCGATCAGTCTGGGAAGTGAAGGGCCCTATCAGAGGCCCGGCCAGGAGATACGACCTGCCAAACCAGTTTGGACCCCAGCTCCAGCCACCTTGGGGCGACTCTTGTATGTCCGGATGGATGCAAGTCGGGATGCTCAAACAATTTTCTCACTGTTTGGTTTTCTTGTAACTTAAGAAGGGCTTTCACTTTTCTTCCCGATGATCTATCTTGCAGCTGGCTTAGATGTGCTCCAGCCCAGGCTGCGTATCTCACGAGCTTCAGTAGGCACCCGCCCCCGCTCGCTGTGGCTCCTTCCCCATGCGATTACATCTTTCCTTGGTAATGGGGTTTTGACTGGCCTTTTGTATAATGCTAAGCCACAATGGGACAAGAATATTCTCCCCTTATTTTTTTGCAGGCGCTTTTATTTCCTGAGCTGTTTTATTGTAAGTGTGCTTGTTTCTGGTTTTGCTCCTCGTCTGTAAAGGGGCCCGGGATTCATGGATAAGATTAGATGCCCTGGTGTGTCAATTGGTCTTTAAAAGAAAGAAGCAAAAGTTGATCACATGCTGAAGCTCAGGGCCAATGCAGAGCTACCTCCCAAGAGACCAATCAATTTCAATTAAGAAGATGAAAAGCCCCGAGCACAGAGAGGCCAGGTCACGGCTTTCTGGATGCTGGGCTCCTCCAGCAGCCTAAAGGCAGGCAGCGGACCCGAGAAACACTGGAGGTTGTCCTCTGGGCCAGTGTCAGGGCAGCAGTGAGGGAGCAAATGCGAAAGAAGAAGCGAGCCGAAGGGGCTCCGTGACTCTTCACGTGGCACTACTGGCATTTGGGGCAGGCTGACCTCCAGTGTCCTTAACCCCACTAAGTATCCAGACCCACATCACACTCAGTGCCCCGATCTGGTGACTTTTGTTCAGAAGCAGTGAATCTGCGAGGATCAGACGAACATGCGTCGTCCACTGTGGGTGCCGTGGAAATATCAAGGCTGTGTCACCTGACGGGGGTGGGGGCGGGGGGGGGAGGGGAGGAGGGGCCTGAGGCAGGGGAGTGTGCAGGGATGCAGGGGGTGGGGACCTCGGCAGCAGAAGGCGGCGCAGGGCAGGAAGGAAGAAGGGCGGGAGGAGGCGGAGGCCAACGGAAAGCACAGCCACTTGTCTGGCAGGAAGGAGAAGTGGCCGGGTGTCAGCCAACCGCAGCTGCGTGCACGGCGTCGCCTTAGGGGCCGAAGCCACTGTTCCCCTGGCTTTTCTTCTGGCTGCTTTCCTCTTACCAGGCCGGCCTGCAGGGGGCAGGGGGCGGAGGGGCGGCTCGGTCCAGGCCACAGGCCTGCAGGGGGCAGGGGGCGGAGGGGCGGCCCGGTCCAGGCCACATGGCTGCGTCTGCTTATCTAAAGGCCGGTGCAGGGGGTGGGGGGTGGGGCGCTGTTGAAAGCGACTGCGTCCAGAAGTTATGGGGTCACTGCGCTCCCAGCGCTGTGGGGTGCACGCACCTGCCCAAGGTCACTTCAGTTCGTGGCTGGGCCGCCCCCTGTTGTCCCTCTGCCCCCCCCGCCCCCGCTTTCCTCCCTGACCTACTTCTGCCCAGATAACTGAGAAACGGGTGGCCGAAGCTGCAGGCCCGGGCCTGCTGTGAAAGGTTGGGACGGCTGTTCATCGCCCCTACAGCATCTGGACCTTGCTTTCTAAAGCAAGAAAAATAAGTCTTGAGCGGATTGCATTATATCGAAGTCGCGTTTTTCTTGATACAACTTTATTTTACAAATGTAGAAAAATGGAACTTCCCAGTTCTGTCAAAGAGAAGGAAGCTCTTACTGTGTGGAGTTTTAAAGGAAGCTCAAAGTTGCTAAGGAGGGAGGAGATGAGCTTCCTGGAGGAAGACTTGCCTTGAGGTGGGACCAGTTTTGTGAGAGGGAAGGGGTCCTGAGCCCCCAGCCCTTCCTTCTTGAGACAGACACGTGTGGGGTGGCCACACGCAAGGGGGCAAGACTACGTACTTGGCCTTCCCGTCAGGCAATAGGGAGGGGACCTGCCTTGCAACACAGCACCTGTCTGGGCGGGTGTGTGTCCTTCGGACTCGGCTTCCTCATGCCGTGGCCTGGGAGCCCGGGGCCAATTCCAATAAAGACCCGAGCGAAGACACGCTACTGCTGGAGGTGGGGGCCCCCGGAGCCAGGAGCCCCCCAGGCCACAGCGACTTGGCTGTAACTAGCAGAGCCTGGGTCTCGGTCGGTTGGGGCTGTCACAACACACACCGTAGACCGAGTGGCTAAACGGCAGACATTTCCTTCTCACAGCTGTGGAGGCCGGAAGTCTCAGGTGCGTCAAGGTGCTGGCCGGTGCCGTTCCTGTGAGGGTCCTCCTGGCTTGCAGACGGACGCCTCCTTGCTGTGGCCTCCCAACGGCAGAGAGCAAGCGCTCTGCTGGCTTCTCTGACGGGGACGCTAATCCCATCGTGGGTGCTCCACCCTCACGACTCCATCTAAACTTAGTGTCCTCCCAGAGGCCCCACCTCCAAGTTGAAGGTCAGGGCTTCAGTCTTTAACTGCTGTCTGCGCCTCCCGTTACCTTTACGCCTCCTTAGCTGCTTATGCTGACCTCTGGGCCGAGCTTCTCAAACTGTCCATGGTGAAGTTTTCTTATTTGCAGTGGGGTATGATGCGTGATGAGAAAAATGAAATTATTGTGTAAAAAGATGTGAAATACCAGCTCATTTCTTTCTTTCTTTTTTGTTTTTATTAGATTCCACTGACCTCGCATTGCTATTAAAGTGGTCTGGATGCTAACGAACGCTCAATGTCACCTTCTGTATTCGACTCACCGTGGAGCAGTAACCAAGCCTCTCAGGGGCTTCTGCATAGACGCCTCCTTGAATGGTGCTGTCCAGGGCCCCACGGAATAGTCTGTCAGCCCCCACATCAGGGGGACTCTGCCACTTCTAGAGACAAAGGTGTGAGTTAGGGTTCCAGTGAAGAGGCAGGACTCCTCCCACGGGGACAGAGCAGCCTCCTTTACGAGAACAAAGTGGCCCTCTTTCCCAAAGTACTGGATGTCAGAACGGAGGGTCTGGGGATCTGAACATGAGAGAAGGGTTCCGGAGAAACTTTCCCTGGCAAGAGAACCGGAGAGAGAAAGCTCAACGCAACCCCCGACCAGCTGACCAATGTCAAGTCTCTCATTAAGATCTGCTGACCAAAGAGGAGAGTGACAGCGGATTCCCTCTGTCCCTCCACGGTGTCCAAGCTGAACATGGGGCTTGTGAACACCAAACAGCTGGGCTGTCCGTGCTCTCGGGGTGTAGCACGGTAAGCCTTGGGCACGACCCTGGGGCACCGGGCGACTATCAGGACACCAGCGCTCTCTGATTCATCATCCGTAACGTGGCGGCGACAGCCCTGCCGCCAAAGCAGTTTGCTAGGGACGCCCTTACAGAACCCCACAGGCTGGGTGGCTTGATCAACATAATCTTACTTCCCCACAGACCCTTCCCTCACGGCCTCAGAAGAGACCAGCTCTACCTACACCTTGATTGCAGATTTCTAGCCGCACAACTGTGAGGAAGGACATTTCACCTGCAGTGAAATAGGGGTGAGCCTGCGATCCCCCAGAGCCGCCTGATTGTAAGCAGATTAAGGCTCAGCGTAGAACTCTTGTGGCGCGGCCTTCCGACGCCGCTGAATGTGAGACTTAGACCATGTAATCTTTCCACGTTAAAATGTACTTATAAAGCACAGATAATAAAAATAACATCTATTTACCTCCCTAGGTGTTCTGAGCCTTCGCTTACTGTTGCAGACGATGATGCATTACAAAACCAAGCAAATTAGTCCCGGGGACAGACGACGCAGGGGCAGATCAACCACCACAACAGAAAAGACGAGCTTTCAAACCAACACGGGAAGACAAGATTATAATGCCTTCCTAACAACGCTGCTTTATTGATGCAATGCAAGGAAAACGACATTAGATTCTATTGATTCTCTCTGAGATCTAATAATATGCTCTATTCAGATCTTATTCACACACACATCCTCCACGGTCTTTCTCAGGAGCTGAAATTGGCCAGTTACAAACAGAATTGTCCTCCTGTCCTTTGAAATCACAGACGCGGACGTGGTTTAGAACACAAAAGATACGAAGCTTTCTTTGGGAAACAAAGCGTAGAGGGGAAAAAATATCTCCCCTCTAAACAAAATTGAAAGCCTGCCTTACTTTAGATTTATTTGATTACAGAATCTTTCTCGGGGCGAATCAGTTTTTAAAATCTGTTCCTATTGGCACTAGTGAGCCAATAAAAAATCCAGAAGGAGAGAAGTATCACAACAACTCAGAGAAACAAGGTTGCTCATTTTTTTTTTTTTAAAAAAGCATTGAATTAATGTTTACACCACCGAGTCAAATTATTTATACATATGCTATACGTTTCGCATCTGCAGAATTTGTTAGCATTCAGAGTATGATAAATTGTACCTGACTGACTTGTGAAAAATCATCTCGAGAAAGATTTTTTTCTCCAGTGGGAAAAATATATAGATGACACATGGTGGCTTATTGAAACTGTTCTTTCATTGAACAGCCAGAACAATTCAGCAGAAGGGAGAGATGATTTAAAAAAAAAAAGTTTTTGGGGCACCTGGGTGGCTTAGTCGGTTAAGCGTCCGACTTTCGCTTAGGTCATGATCTCGTGGTTCGTGGGTTCGAGCCCCGCGTCGGGCTGTGTGCTGACTGCCAGCTCAGAGCCTGGAGCCTATTTCGGAGTCTGTATCTCCCTCTCTCTCTGACCCTCCCCTGCTCACGCTCTCTCTCTCAGAAAATAAATTAAAAACTTTATTTTTTAATTTTTATTTATTTCTAGGAGAGAGAGAGAGAGCATGAGCAGGGGAGGGTCAGAGAGAGAGGGAGAGAGAGAATCCCAAGCAGGTTCCACATTGTCAGCACAGAGCCTGATGCAGGGCTTGAACTCATGAACCATGAGATCATAACCTGAGCTGAAACCAAGAGTTGGATGCTTAACTGAAACACCCAGGCGTCCCAAAGACAGACGGATTTTTAGATGTCACAGTGGATGGGTAAGGATTTTGGCTTTGGGGCAGCGTTGTAATGCTCATCAAGTCGCTTCCGTACCTCGTTTTCATCTCTATAGTACGTTGGAGACTCAGGGCTTTCTGTAAATATTCAAAGCAATAAGACACATGGGCAGTACTACATGAGCCTGTCCAGAGTTAAAAATCTAATAAATGTCAGCTTTTGTGTCATTATAGAGAATCTCTTACTTATTTTTCATCTGCAGAAAAATTACAAAAAGGATTAAGTATGTTGGAAAAAAAAGGAAAGTAGGTCTTGGGCCTCTTAACACATGTGCTGTGTCAGTTCTAAGAAGGGGTGTTAACATGTGTTAGCAAGCCTGGTTCTGGAGAAAGTTCTGGAGAAAGCAGAACCCTCGTGTGTTGCTGGTGGGGAGGTTAAGTGGTGCAGACTCTTTGGAAACTGCTGGTTCCTTAAAAGTGAAACAGAGAGTTACTCTCTGGGCCAGCAGCTCCACTCCTGGTTATACATACACCCAAGGGAATTAACAACATGCATCTGTACAAAATTTGCACACCAATGTTCATCGCAGCATTAGGCACAACAGCCAAAAGGTGGAAACAGCTTAGGTATCACCACTGACTAATGAATGGATAAACAGAATGTGGTACAGCCGTGCAGTGGGATATTACTTGGCAAAAAGCAGCAACAATAACACTGATGCACCCCCCAACGTGGATAAACCATAAAAACATGATACTAACTGAAAGAAGCCAGATGTCACAAAGGATACCTCTTGGATAATTCCATTTTTTTTAAAAAAAATTAATTTAGAAGTTTTATCACAAATTGCATTTTCTCTTCTGACTTTTTATTTTTTTTATTTTTTCATTTTATTTTATTTTATTTTTTTTACAAATAGTTCATTGCCAAATTAGTTTCCACATAACACTCAGTGCTCATCCCCACAAGTGCCCTCCTCCATGCCCATCCCCCCTCCCCCCCACATCCATCAGTCCTCAATTTTTGTCAGCATTCAAGAGTCTCTCATGGTTTGCCTCTCTCCCTTTCCCCCACCATTTCCGCCCTTCTTCTCCCCCTTGTTCCTCCGTCAAGTTCCTCCTAATCCTCCTATATGTGCACACATATGATATTTGTCCTTCTCTGCCTGACTTATTTCGCTCAGCGTAACACCCTCAAGGTCCATCCATGTGGCTACACATGGCCAGATTTCATTGTTTCTCATTGCCGTGTAGTATTCCATGGTATAGATAAACCACATCTTCTTGATCCATTCATCTGTTGATGGACACTTAGGCTCTTTCCATGTTTTGGCTATTGTGGAGAGTGCTGCTATGAACTCTCTTCTGACTTTTTAAAAAGTTATTTATTTTGTAAGTAATCTCTGCACCCAGTGTGGGGCTCAGACTCACGACCCAGAGATCAAGCGTGGTATGCTCTTCTGACCGAGCCAGCCAGGTATCCCCTTCTGATTTTGTTTCTACAATATTGTTAGTTTCAGGTGTGTAACATGGTGACACACCCTTTGCGTACATTCTGAAATGGCCACCTCGGTAAGTCTAGTCACCATGGATGACTCCATTTATGTGAAATAATCCAGGACAGGCAAATGCGTACAGATGGAGAGTTACTCGTTCTTGCCTAGCCTGCGTCCTGGAGCGGTAATGGGTGTGACTGTTAATGGGTACAGGGTTTCTTTTAGGAGTGATGAAAATTTTCTGGAACTAGATAGTGATGGCTGTACAACTTTGTGAATATACTAAAGACTTTGTATACTTTAAAATGGTTAGTTTTATGGTATATGAATTTTATCTGGGGAAAAAATGTGAATGCTTAATGTGTAAGAAGGAAACTGAAATTGCAGGATTTGGAGATAATCACTGCAAACGTTTTGATGTAGATCCATCAGACTCCTGCAAATATATACATTAAAAAAATAAAATGGGGGCACCTGGGTGGCTCAGTCAGTTGGGCATCCAACTTTGGCTCAGGTCATGATCTCACAGTTCATGAGTTCGAGCCCCGCATCGGGCTCTGCACTCAGAGCCTGGAGCCTGCTTTGGATTCTGTGTCTCCCTCTCTCTCTCTCTGCTCCTTCCCCACTCGTGCTCTGTCTCTCTCTCTCTCTCTCTCTCAAAAAAAAAAATAAACATTACGAAAGATAATAAAATACTAAAGTGGGATCATATAGCACATGCTGCTAAGTGAACATTTTATTTTTATATTACTATCCTACATTAGGAAACTGCCTTGAATCATGGGTGGTTTCTACCTCTCAATCTCCCCCGATGCCTGGCCTCTCCACATTTCTTGTCACATTCCTTCTCTTTCCAAAGCTCTTCCTCAGGAGGACTTTCAAACTATTTGGATCATCAGGGTACTTTGAATGCTTGTTGCCGGGTGTTACAAGACACTTCATTAACAGCTACAATTTCAATGGATTTGGTTCTGAAATCCTTATTTCTACCTTGATTTTTATCCCATGTGCTCATACTGCATCCCCAAATGCCTGCTGGAAATTCCCACTGGGATATTTATCACTGACGTTATTGTATGACTAAAATCAAACTCCTTACACTTTTCAGTGCCACAGCCTGGCACAGCAGAAGATGTGCTGAGTTTTGAAACTTGAAAGTCAAGTTCATGCCCACACTTAACCTTTCTGATTCAAGTCAGTCTTCCAGAAATTAGGGAAACGTACTCTGGCTAATTCGGACAGAAAAGAGATGTGAGGAGGGACATGGCAACAGCTCTCCCAACAGGCCGGAAGGAGGGATGAGGAGCCAGACTGGGAAAGGGAGCAAGCATTGTGGCATTCTCGGAGCTAGCATTTCTTAGCGATGAAAACAGGAGCTGGATATGGGCAGCATTTGTCCACTTTGCTTAGCCTCGATTTCCTGAAACCAAGAAAAATGGAGATAATTTGACCACCCACCTTATGGGATTGTAAGGAAGACGGAGCCGATATTCCGGAAGAGTCTTTGTAAACCAGAAGCCCCTCCACAGGTGGAAGGTTGTTTATACTGCAAAGTGAGTTTATACTTTCCATCTCTGTTCTGTTCCTGACCCTTTTACCTCTGTGCCACTCAGTGTCCCTCCTCCCACCCTCTCCGTCCGTGGGTGCCCCTCCCCCTCAGCGCCCCTTTTCCCATCAGCACCTCCAGATCCAAGCCACGGGGTTTCTCCATGATTCCTTCACCTCCCTCCCTTCTCTTCCCCTCACCAATGGCACCTGCGAATTCGGCGGCAGGAGCGGAACCCGGCCTCTCCTGAGCCTAATTACACATTGGACTCGCCTGGGGCCAACCTCCCAGGCCGTGTTCGTACAGAAGCTCCTCGGGCGAGCGCGGCACGAATAGGCTCACCCCCTCGAATCTACAAACCGAGTTGCTGACCCGGAGCACTAGCCCCCAGAAGAGCGTTCTGAATCGAAGCAAGTCTGGAAAACGCCGCCCCCATCTCCCTCTTAAAGATTACAGTTCAAGAGGTCCTGCAGGTAAGATACCTGTGAAACTGTGCAAATGTCTAAGACTGTGAGCTTGCAAAGCTGTCTCATCCTGTGATACAGTGATTTATAGTAAGATTTGGTTTTGTTTCTGGCACAGAAGTTCCCCAAACCCTTGGAATTTCCTAAGTGGTGAGAGCAACAAAGGTATTGTTCGTTATGTTAAGGAGGTGACTTTTGGACCCCACCTAAAGTTAGGGTTGGTTGGCAGGAGAACCCACCCTCCCCCACCCCAAGCTACCACCCCTTTGGGTGAAGGGAGAGGAGCTGGAGATTGAGTTCAGTCACCAATGGCCAGTGACTTCATGAGCTCTGTCTGTGTAACGAAGCCTCCATGAAAACCCAGAGGGAGCTGATTCGAGAGCCTGCAGGTTGGTGAACGCAGGGAGACTGGGAGAGGGCGGCGAGCTCAGAGAGCACGGGAGGTCCGCGCCCTGTGCATCTCCTCTGGCCGTTCCTGAGTCCTGTCCTTTTACAATAAATGGTCATCTAGTGAGTAAAGGGATTCTGAGTTATGTGAGCCACTCAAGCAAATTAATCGAACCTGAGGAGGGGGTCATGGGACCCTCATTGACAGCTGGCAGTCAGAAGTGTGGGTGACGGCCTGGGCTTGTGGCTGTCGGACGGAGGGGTGAGTAGGGGGTGCGGGGAGCAGCCTTGTAGGGCTGAGCTCTTACTCTGGGTCTGACGCTGGCTCCAGATGGAAAGTATCAGAACTGATGAAGTGTGGGACGTGCAGCTCGCATCCCAAGGCGGTGTGGCAAAGCGCCCCCCAATGGAACTCATTTAGTCACGGAACGTCTCTTAAAATTCTGCAAAGAGAATATTCTGAGAAACACCTACTTTGGGAAACCATGGCCTATAGAATAAATCTTCCAAGGTTTTTGACCATTTGGCTCTACATACACTTCCAACTTTCGCCAGACTTTCTGCCCTCCAACATAACAGACTTTTTTTTTTTTTGAGAGAGAGTGCATGCACACAGGAGGGAAGAGGGAGGGAGGGACAGGGAGAGAGAGAGAGAGACAGACAGAGAGAGAACCTTAAGCAGGCTCCACACTCAGCCTGGAGGAGCCTGACTTGGGGCTCAATCCCACAACCTTGGGATCATGGCCT